ACCTTCCGCGACTATTGTTTTATAACCCAACAAGTACAAATCTCATTGAAAGACACAAAACACACAGACGCAAAAGAAACATTAAGAACAAAGAAAGAGTACATATGTTCCCATCACCAGGAAACGAGCTTATTTCCAGCCGCTCCCTTCAACTGAAGTAGGGGTCAACCAAACAAACATACTAAGGCTGAATAAATCACGTTAAAACGTTAAAGTCCATTTCCTTTATTTTTCCTATTCAGATCATTCCAGATGTTTCAAGGCGTTCTTCATTGATCATATTCATTGCTTGAAATCAGTACCGGATTAGTGAGGAGGTCCACACGGACGTTTCCGAAATGCCGATGGCTGTTTGCTAAGCGATTGCGTCATTTATCGCGACAGTGTTCTCTAGTTTTTTTTTTGACCGTGAACAGCAGCTACCTTGTCTGATGACCTCCTTTCGGATGATCTTGCAAAGTAGGCTCGTTGCCTCGTTCAGCCGCTCAGGAAGTGTGGCCGAGTTGGGTAGCGTGCAATTGGGATTTCAATCCACGTCCGTGAATTGAAATGTCTCCCCCACCTAGACGTTCGTGCACCGACACGTCCGTGTACCGAAAAGACCGCATCAAAACGCCCTACACCGAAATAGCCAGCTTTCGTCACCAAGGCCTCCCGGACATTGTACAGAACAGCGCGCTCGACGTGTAGCATCCCCGAAACGACGGTTGAGAAAGGCCGGACCTCTATAATGATGGAGACCTCGCCTGCTCGCCGGCAGTGAGGACGGACACCGCAGTACCCCAACCCGAGGCTCCACCCAGTTTAAACAACTTCAATAGCAAAGACCGATACGGTCTTCCTCTTCGGTGTCGATTGCACGGACGAGAGCCGGGAGGCATTCCCTGGGGGGTCCGCAATACCAGCGTTAAAACCCCCTACACTTAATGAGAAATAACCTAACTAACAAACTCACTTTAAGCCCTCTCCCCCCCCCCCCCCTTCCCACTGCTCTGACATTGCTGCTATGGCGAACTAATAACCATGCCGACTTGTATCAAAGAAATAGAAGGAGAAGAACGGAATCCCACCTATCTCTAGAGGGGCGTTAGCTAAAGTTGTTCAACATTTAAATTACTAACCAAAACAAACTAGAGACATAAACGGCATCGGAATGCAGAGTCTTTGTTATATCGACCAATGGTGTGTCAGCAACTGACAGGTAACAGTTAACTACACCAGATCGCGATTTTTCTGTGCGCATTACATAGAAAAATACCATTCCGAGCACTCCAGAGGCTCAACACTCCAATTACGCTACCTAGCAAATGTTTTACATTCAGTCGTTCCCCGACTTTTATTGCAGAGATCGACACGTTTCTGTCGTGTCGATCAATGTTCTGTCATCAATAGATTGGAGACAATTTACTACACAACGCCCGGTATTAGCATGCATGTTGCAGAAAAAAAAAATTCTGAGGCCACAGTTGCTCAAAGTTTATAGTATGCCTCATAGCAAACGTTGTAAATTGAGACATGATTCGACTTTTACAAGACAGTCCCACAGCCAGCATGGAGTCCGTAAAAGTAGCGGAACTCTGCGTCTTTGTTGGGTCAAGCAATGTTGTATCAGCAAAATATACAAAACGGTTTAGTATGCAACGTTGCGATTTTCGCTGATGCACGACTGTGATACAGTGTTATAAAAAATATTCAGGACGTTGCAATTGCTCAACAGTTTAAATTACGCACCTACAGTAAACGTTGTACGTTGAACCTTTTCATGACTTCTATTAGACAGTTCCCCGGGCAACATAGAGTAAGTAATAAGAACGTAGCCGTGCGTCTTTGTCATGCCAATCAAAGTTGTGTCAGCAACAGATTACAGACGGTTTACTACAAAGCGTCGCGTTATCTCCGTGTGTACCGCAGTGATACCGCATAGTAGCGGAAACATTCCGCGCGCTGTCGTTGGTAAATACTTAAATTATTCCGCCTCGCAAACGTTGTACACTCATCCAATGCGTAAAGCACCTGTGCGACAAGGAACCGTACACGTTCGCTTTCACGCCGACTGCACACAAAAGGATCACGTTATAAACGCTCCGAACAGAAAGGACTCAAAAAGTAAAACGAGTGAGCGAGCACTTACCAATTAGACTCATATCCACAGCTGGTTTTATGGGCACGCCGGCACCTAGGACACTTCCTTTTTCCAAGAACGTTCTTCGATGTTTGTTCCTAAAGTCTGAAAGCGCCCGAAAGTTGCGAAAGTTTTGAAACTCGCTTCGTTTTTGAAAGTTTTTGCGTTTTGTTACGATGGCGATGGCGATGCGGCGATGCTCGTTGGTTCCGAGTTCCGACCAAGTTTATTTGACGCAACGTGAATTCGCTTGTTTTATTCGACTTAAATTAAAACTTTAAGATATAAAAGAATTGTTTTAAGATTTATAAAATTATTTGTCATAAAGCATCTCGAAGCGCAATGTGTACTAAACTGGAGCTTGGCTTTTTTTTATTTCAAAATACTGCCAATCCCCGAAGGGATTATTGCAGGCATTGGTACACAATAAAAAGATACATGTGAGGCACTTAACAACGAATGAACAACACTTCTCGTCATTCAAAACATCCAATAATTACGAAAAAAGTTCATCTTCGACTGCATTGATAAATGATTCAACAGTGCCGTGACTGAACACGTGTGGATCAAGGCTATTCCAGATTCTAATGGCAGAGGGAAAAAATGAGTGTTTAAAAGTTATTATGAAACGAATAGTCAACAAGTGTATGGCTGTGCTTGTGTCTAGTCGGTCTTGTGTTAGACAATTGTACGTACTTGGATGAGTCAATCTTAAAGGCGCCTTGTAAAAGAAGGTAGAGAAATTTTAGACGAATTAATGTTGCGCGGTCAGTAATGGTCTGTAAACCTGCTCTTTTCAGAAGCTCTGTAGGGGAGTCAAAACGACCATACTTATGATAAACAAACCTAATTGCCTTTCTCTGAAGGCTTTCAAGTGTGTTTATGTTTATATTCGTGTGAGGGAACCAAGCAATATTTGCGTATTCAAGCACAGGGTTTTATATGCTAGGAGTTTTGTTTCACAAGACGAACCTTTTAAGGTTCTCTTCAGAAGGAATAATTTCGTGAGAGCTTTATTAAATACATATTTAACGTGTGCGTTCCAGTTAAGATCAGATGTTATTAAGACTCCTAGGTACTTATACTCGGTGACTCTATGCAAGGGTTCATCTTCAAGGCTATATTGAAACTGGGAGACATTCTTTTTCTTTCTCGTGAAACTCATGGAGACTGTTTTTTCTTTGTTAATCACCATTTGCCAGTCATCGCACCAGTCGGAAATCTTTTTAAGAGATTTGTTTAGTAGGATGTGATCGTCTTGGTTCTTAATTTCTTGATATATGATACAATCGTCAGCGAATAATCTTATGTTAACATCAATGCCATCGGCTATGTCATTTATGAAAAGTAGAAATAAAAATGGAGCTAAAACGGAACCTTGTGGGACGCCGGATACTACTGCAACTGGTCGCGTACTTTGTCCCTCGTGATAAACAAATTGGAAACGATTTTTTAAGTAGTCTTCAATCCATGCAATTATCGGTCCTTCGCCCATAATATGTTTAAGTTTTGTTATCAGTTTGTCGTGGGAAACGCGATCAAACGCTTTCGAGAGATCCAAGAACACTGCATCTACCTGACTTCCGTTGTTTATGCCCATCGTGAAATCGTGAAGAATCTCAATTAGCTGTGTAACGGTCGATAGTCCACTTCTAAAACCATGCTGATGTGGGAATAAGATATTGTTATTTTCTACAAATGATGTCATGACTTTGAGAATAATATGCTCGAGAAGTTTGCAGCAGGTGCAAGTAAGTGATATGGGCCTAAAATTTGAGGCTAGAGTTTTATCGCCAGATTTATGTATAGGGATTACTTTCGCAACTTTCCATTCGGCGGGTACCGAAGAAAGGAAGAGAGACTTGTTAAAAATTAACACTAAATACTTGCTAACCCATTCGGCGTATCTTTTAAGAAACATATTCGGAATTTCGTCAGGACCGTTACCTTTTTTGGTGTCTAAATTGAGTAAAAGTGCAAATATGCCTGGTTCCGTAACTATTAGGCTTCCAAGTTCTTCAGCAGTGTTGCATTGTGGTAAAGTTAAACCGTCATTACCATCATCAGCTGTAAATACCGACTTAAAGTAATTGTTAAATTCATCTGCCATTTTTTGTTTCTCTATGGAGCTCATACAATTCATTTGAGACTTTTTAGGGTTAACGTGGTTCCAAAATTTCCGAGGTGACGCTTTCATGAACTCGTGGAGGGTCACGTTATAGTACTTATGTTTGGCTTCTTTAATTTTTAATTTAAGAAGTTTAGAGTGCTCTGAAATCTTTGCTTTGTAGTCGGTGTTATCCTGGAGGGAGTGTATTTTTGATGACTTCCTTAGCCGCTTGAGTTTGCGTTTCAGGTGGATAATTTCTCGCGTGATCCATGGGTTGTGCTTTCTTGTTATTTTTTGTTTTTTTGGGATGAACTGTGTAACACAGTGCGTGATAATTGATTTAAACTCGTTCCATATGTCGTCAATACTGACATCTATCTCGTCACAAAGTTCACGGAAATCATAAAATCTATGAGCAAGGTACGTTAATATACACGCGTCATCGGCACTGTTGAAATCAAGTACAGTTTTGATGGTACCATATGAGAACCTAGATGTTCGTATAGGTATGGTGCATATAACTGCTTTATGGTCGGATATGCCCGTTACTACTTCAACATCGACTTGGCTCTGGGGGAAGTGGTCACTAAGAAATACAAGGTCAAGCAGACTGCTGGACGTTCCCTGCACCCGTGTTGGCTCTCTGACGATTTGTGACATATTAAACGCAAATAAAATGTCTAATATTGCATCAGAGGTAACAGTGCCAAGTTGCAGCGAATCCCAGTTTACCTCAGGTATATTAAAATCGCCAGCCATAATAATCCTTTAATTTTTAATGTGTTGTTGCATGTAATCATATAAGTTGTACAGACACTTGTGGTCGGAGTTTGGAGGCCGATAAACGACACCTACAACAACAGAATAATAATCGAATGACACTTTGCACCATAAAGATTCAACATCTTTCACATCAGGCATATGTCCGTAGGGGATACCTCGTTTTAGAAGTATTGCTACTCCGCCACCTCTAGTCGTTCTGTCTTTTCTCAGAATGATGTAATTTGGTGGGACAATTTCGCTATCAAGTATTAAGGGATGTAACCACGTTTCTGTGATTGTAACTATGTGTGGATTAAATTCTAAGAGAAAGGACTCCAATGAATACGCTTTATTTTGAAGACTCCTTGCATTTATATTTACGACTCTAAGGTTAGATGGCAGAATGTGGCGTTCGGTTAGTTTTCGTCGGGAACATCGTTTTTTTCTACGGGAATTATGTCTTCTTTTGTCTCATCCCACGCATAGAGATGCCCATTTATGCGAACCTTATCATATGTTAAGAAAACCTTTTCTCGCTTATCTCGGTTTGCTTTAGTGCGGTCCCAAAGCTTCTTACGTATTTGCTGTACGTGTCGGGAGAAATCTTCACCGATTGAAAAATCTGTTCCTTTCAGTTTGACGCAGTTTTTCAGTATCTTTGATTTATCTCTACTGTCCAGTAGTTTGAGTATGACTGGACGGATCTTGTTATCAGCCTGTTTCCCGAGGCGGTGAATTCTTTCGATGCCTGCTGTTTGTACGTTTAGAATTCTCTCGAGAATTTCACCTACGACCACTCTTTCGAGTGTCTCACTGTTTTCGTTCTCTTGTTCTTTAATTCCGTAGACAATCAGATTCGACCGTCTACTTCGATTTTCTAAGTCGTCTACCTTTCTGGTAATAATTTTAACAGTCGTTTCAAGTTCAGTTATTCTCTCCCGACATGCACTGACGTTCTTTTGAAGCGTACTGAGACTTTCCAGTTTGTGCTCGATCGCAGAAAGTCTGTCATTTGTTATACCCTTTTCATTTTTAATTTCCTGTATGTCCCGGGCGATTTCTTTCAGTTTTTGTAAAATAGCGCCTGTTTCTGGACCAGGGTTGACCTCAACATCGCCGCTCAGCAAAAGTAGCATTCTCAGAGAGAAAAACACATCGCACAACCACAAGTAACAGGACCGTGGGCACGGCAGCAAAATCAAGCAAACATTATTGCTACGGTAGGACTTGCAAAATCGTTTGCTTACCTGGACGAGAAAGACGAATGGGTTGTTAGCCCTCATGTTGGCAGTGCTGCCGTGCCCAATGCCGTGGAGCGTCTCGCTGCGCCGTTTTATAGCCCGAAACGGTGATGTCACAGTCGAAGATAAAAGTTCATCAAAAAACGAACGACTGATTCCAGGTTCGAAGATAAGATGCTTGCTGTCGTCCAGCGTCGGTGCAATTCCTCCGATGACGGAAGGGAACGGCGTGTCGCGGCGCGCAGCATCGGTGCCTGCGTTCAGCTTGTTGACGTTGACCGGCACCAGCACAATGTCAAGCAGGATCTGGACGAGAAAGACGAATGGGTTGTTAGCCCTCATGTTGGCAGTGCTGCCGTGCCCAATGCCGTGGTGCGTCTCGCTGCGCCGTTTTATAGCCCGAAACGGTGATGTCACAGTCGAAGATAAAAGTTCATCAAAAAACGAACGACTGATTCCAGGTTCGAAGATAAGATGCTTGCTGTCGTCCAGCGTCGGTGCAATTCCTCCGATGACGGAAGGGAACGGCGTGTCGCGGCGCGCAGCATCGGTGCCTGCGTTCAGCTTGTTGACGTTGACCGGCACCAGCACACTGTCAAGCAGGATCTGGACGAGAAAGACGAATGGGTTGTTAGCCCTCATGTTGGCAGTGCTGCCGTGCCCAGCTTCGTTTCAATTTGACATGGCGGCGACCACTATTGTGCCGTGTACCGTGCTCGACCTATTTGCTGTGCATTGGTTGTCCTGTTATCCACCTCTTGCGATCCTCATCAGCCCCAAGCATGCTGTCTAAGTATTGTGTCCTCGCCGGAAAGAATATCCAGTCTTCTTGGAAGCGTTGCTCGAATGTCGTCGGCACCCACGAACCGACTCGGCAAGCCTCACGTCGTTGCTTGGTTCCTCCGCGTTTCCGGCGATGGATCTCCCAGCCCTGGCCTCAGCCCTACAGGACGTAGCCGGTGAAAAACAATTTACGACAACGCGGTGTCTTTGGAATGCGATTGCTACGATCAGTGGCTCTTAAAACCTCAGTAGCCCCCCTTCAATAGTGAACTCTGCGATGTGAACGCCCTTACCTTCAGTGTCCGGAGACTGCTGCAAACCTCCGACGAGAGCGGCCGTCTTCTCCGGGCTCCGCAAAGCCCAGAGAACTAACTGTACGCGACTGCACGTGATCCTCGTATAAACATCGCCGCGCTCCGTCGGCCCGCCGCAGCACGTCCGCCGAGAGATCGGTTCGCTCGAGTCTCGTTCTGCGAGCGGCACGCCCGTTTCTGCTTCGAATATGGCTACAGCCGACATCGCCGCTTCGCAGCTCACCAATATCTCTGCGTTCATCCTGAGACAGGACATGAAAATCTCTCTAGAGCGAGACGACCAAGGTGGGAAATGGATCACCCCTGGAAAGCCCCGCAAATCTCGTCTTCCGGCCGACTTTGACCACGAACTTCACGTAGTTATAGTGCATCTCCCAGTCCGTCCTGCCGCCGCAGCTGCGCTGCCTCTTGACAGTTTGCCGGCGTTCTTGCAAGCCGCACAGCTCCTTGCTCATACATGTACCGACGTGTCGCTCCACCTCCGGCAAAATAACCGTCCTCTGCACACATCACGAAGCGATCGTCAACTGGCTACTTCGCATCACCAATATCACATTACAAAACATTTCCCCTCCCGTCCACTCCTACCTACCCCCGACGAGATCATCAATGATCTGGAGTCTTATCAAGGTGACATCCTTCAAGCAAGGCGAGTAGGCACAACAGGTTCAGCCATCATCACCTTCATCGGAACCCATGCCCCTTACACAGTGTACTATCGCCGCCTTGAATTTCGCTGCCGTCCCCACAAACCTCGAGCCCATCATCGCAACAGCTGTGTCGAGTACGGACATCGCACTCTGGCCTGCCCGGGCAACCAGCGACGCTGCCCCCCGTGTTCCACCACCCTGGCCCGCCCAGACGAACCCCATCCCTGTACTCGCTGGTTTGCGTTGCCTCAACTTGCAGTGTGGTTCTCAAGTAGGGCACTTGGTCCCGAATAAGCTGCTGCACCTTCACTCACTCCATGAGACGCATCCCTGAACAGTTCTAGCGGCATGTAAAGCGTGGATGCAGGATTCGGTTTATGGCAGTCACCTTGACAATTGCTATAGTGGAGCACACTGCTTACAGAAAGGATCGTGCTAAGAACTGTAGGGGTGTGCTGGTCGTGGTACCTTTTCTACTACCCTTTTGGCGACGCCACGACCTGGAGCTGGAACCTCTCGCAAGCATGGCGAGGGGTTGCTATACTGTGCATGCTACCTGGCTTCCGTGAAAGCTGAGTCCTATGACCTGCCCAGCGAGCCACTGGTGCTCATTAACACGATTTAACTAAATGTGTGCATACTAGACGTCTTCAAGTTGAGTCGCTCGGAGTGCAGTGTATACCATGGAACCATTTCCAGTGGCCCCAAATACTCGACAGTTCGACGGTACAGTGTGCTCAGTCTACTTTTTCTCAACATGTTTATTAATCGTGATCCCTGCAATCAACTCCACTGCTGTTACGGACGACCTGATACTGGTGCCGCTTATCAGGTGGCCCAAGAAACCACCAGGGTTTGCAGAACAACATCGACAAGGTCTACTATAAACAGCCAGCTATGCTTCTTCGCACAGCCTGACGACAGTTTTGTTCAAAACGTGCGGAACACTGGGTTTTGTACTTAGCGTGTCCAGTAGACTAGGCCATAACAGACTTTCACCAGTGGCGTACCAACTTGGTTTTGAGGGGGGGGGGGGGGGGCAAACTAAACCCCCTTCCCCTCTCCTCCTCCCCCCCCCCCCCCCCCCCCCCGGGACCGAGGAGCGATGCCCTTGGTATCCCTTGGGCGCTGCCAGCCAGTGTTTGCCCTGCCCAGTGGTGGCTGTTTTAGGGGGGGGGGGGGGGGGCAAAACACATGACTTGCCCCCCCCCCCCCCCCATTCTAAGAACTGGGGGACAAGCGCCCCCCTTGACCAACCGGTTGGTACGCCCACGCCTTTCACAGCCCTGGTCCTGCCACACCTAAAGTATTGCAGCTCCATATGAGACTCCTGTGAGGTTGATCTTGTAAGATCAGTTGAAAGTGTTCATCGAAGGGCAACTATACACTATTCTTCGGCAGCCAAGCTCACTCCGGATCACTCACTGCTTTGACATTGGCTAGAATTCTGGCCCTTCAATGGACGACCAGAGTTGATCTCAAGTGTGGCCCTCCAGCGGGTTGTCTTATTATGCCTCCTAAACAGCGTTGTGGAACTGCAAGTTCATGAGACAGCACTGAAGGGAGTTGTTTGCAAGAATTGGGCTGGTGCCTTTCAACCGTTTCGTACTGTAGAGCAACAGCCTTCCTTCTTGGTGCGGTCTTCACTGTTCTGGCAATCCCTTTATTTGCACTCACGCAGAACCCCCCTAACAATCATCACAAGCTCGAAAACATCTGTAGACAGGAAACTCGCTACCTTCACTCCCACTGAGGTAGAGCAGTGCCTATGTGCTTTAACGTGAATTGCAGACTTTTACTTGATTTCTATTTTGTGTTTCCCCCCACTTTTATTTGTTCCTTTTGCAGGGTACTGCGGGTTTCTTGGTATAGTCTTTGGCCACTTTACTATAACGAATTGCTCTTAGCAGGATTAGACGATAAAAGCACTTCTAACGCTTTTATCCTCTACTATGGTACTCTTTGGCACACAACTGTACTATTTTATTCAACCTAACGAAAACGGGTTTTATGTCCGTTAAGTAAGAAACGGACACACTGTCCGTCAGAATTACGACAAATTGTTTGTAAAATTACGGAAATTTTTTACAGTGTAGATGATAACGCCGGTTCGCTCCATGGAACCCTCAGTTAATGCTTTCACATTAAAAGTGCGGCGCCTTTTTGAACAAACAAATTAAAGCGAAAGTTTATATTTCACTGAAGTGACACCTCTCAACTACAGTAAATGGTCCTAAATGGTCGCGTATAATTACCAGCAAAAGTGCTTTTTATTCAAAAGCGTACGAGGTAAGGTCTGAAAAAAAAATATATATAGGATAAAAGTTTCAGTATCGTTTGTCGTAAATATGAATAGATTGTCATTACGTGAGCCATGCACAGAGGCATTTATTTTTCTTATTTTGCAACTCTATCTTTGCTTTTTTTCACTTTTCATTATTTTCAGTCCCTTTCTGTGAAATCGACGTTTCAGCTAGCCACTTCCAAAACTAATTTATTTTTTAAATTCCGAAACTAATTTATTTTTAATGGGAACCATCAAGTGCAATAACTACAGTTCGTTCCGAAATCCGCACAAAAAAAAAAAAAAAAAAAGAGAGAGAACCGCGCGGCGCTTTATCTAGAGAATATAGCGATTGTGGGATTTCTGGGCAACATATATATGGGTGGTTTCATCTCAAATCGTGCAGGCAAAAAGGGTCGAATTTTTAATTTCGATGAAAAAAATATATGTTATGGTGCCGTTTCTAAAACCGCAGTCGACACAAACCGCAAGTTCATCCGATTTTTTGTTCTCGACTTATGGATTTTTAAAGAGGCCGCGGCGAAAAGCAGTGTTTTTCACACCCGTCGTGGGTCGGATGTTTCGCTTGATCTCCCGCCATGGATTTTCAGTCCAAATTTTATTAACTTTTTTCAAGCACTCTGTGGACACATTTAAAAGGCTCCAATACCATGAAATAATTTTAGGCCTTTTGCTTTTTTTCTGTAAAAATGTCAAAAACGCCTCCTCAGTCAATTGTTCACGAACTTTGACAATTAATTACTGGCGATCTACTTGGGTTATACCGATATTTTTTATGTCTACGGAGAGCCCAAAACACGCTCTTTATATTTATTATAAAATGCCTTGGCTGTATAAAATATCCTTTGCGGTACGTTTACGTTAATATTATGCAAAAACGAAAAAGTACCATTTTTGAAATTGATTTTCTCAAAAAACCCATTTTTTATTTTTTTTATCTTTTGTTAAAATGTAGATATGATAGTTGTCTACACGAAAATCAAGCCTAGAAAGTGTATATTTTGTTTGCATGTTTTATATTTAGACCTCAATATCGGAAAAAGACGTCTTTGTTTTGCAAGACCTAAGTCAGACATAGCGACCCATGCGTCTCTATGAATTGTGAAAAAGTTTTCTTGAATTTTCTTCCGCATTTTGTAATCAATTATAAACGGATTTTGTGGTATTGAATATTTATGTATGTTTTGATAAGAGCGGGAACCATGAGATACATATCAACCAAATCAGCAGGCCTAGTAGACTTTCAATAACCAAAAGGCATAGACGTTGTATTGTTTCGATTTATAAACCTT